CAAATATGGAAAGCACTTTCGAATTTAATAATCTGAGGTTCTCTTCAGAGATGTTTTGCCACATTTCTGCAATTAAGGATGATTGCTGTATAGTACGGGTGTTTCCTTTAGCCTGAATTAGAGTCCTGCATTTCAGCCCGGGCCCAACGGGCCTCGACTTTTTTATGCCCCTAGGGCCGGCCTTCGGTACAATTTTTACGTCATAGTTAAGATGCGGGCCGGGCATCGAGCTTGTTTTAGGCTTCTCCTTATTTTTATATTTTAGACATCCATCAATTAGTGATGAAAAAAAAATAAAAATTTGACACGCTGGTGGAAACAACACGAGACAGTGCTACTGCGACTCAAGAGCGGCTCGACGGGGTTTAGTGTCCAGCAGCAGCGAGCGTGCCGTCAGCGCAGCTGAACAGTTCTGCGTTCAAATGCACACAATAGCTCTTAAGCTTGCCGCAAAGCACCGGCTAAAGTAATTACCATGAATGTGTCAGGGGGAAATAATAAGGAGATATTTGAATTATTTACTAATAAACTAGCGTTTTCTGAGTCAGTGTCACAAGGATGAAGTTGCCGATCCAGACTCGCCATCTCCTCAGACGCGCCTTTAGAGAGAAGTGCATCTTTACGGATTATGATTATAATGAAAGAGTTTTTGTTTTATTTGTTTTACTTCGTTAAGTAGTAATTTAAAGCTTTCTATAGATATATTTATCATGTCTGTGAGGCATGTATTCGCTGAGTTTCGATTCATTTTTGTAAGCGATCCTGTTCAAGACCGAGACAGCAGAAAGCACATCGTGTTTGTTTTCTTTATTTTATAAAAGCACAACGTTTTGTTGATATTGTGAGTGCACACAAATAAAAGTAGACCCTTTACAGTTACGAATGATGTATTACTCTTACCTTTATGAGCAAAAATGACGGCGTATCCTCTAAAAAAAATGCAAGTGATCACGCTGGCGCCTCCATGTCCTGCAAAGCGCACTTTAGCTTCCACTCTCCGCACAAACTATTGGATATAGCGCACATTTATCTAGGTTTAGCGTTTAAACATTGAACTGTTTTATATGTATAGATTTTATTTTAGGCAAGTCGTGATGATTTGAGAAGGCTAAATTTATCAAACATAGGCTATGATCAGCTCACTGTCTGCCACTGGCCGCTTGGTCGTTACTTTAAAAAACAAAAACTTATATTTAACAACCAAAACATACTCCAAACCTTTTCTAAATTAACTTAATAAAAAAACGAAACGAAATATAATCACTTTGCCATTACATACAAAACTGAACTATTTTAATAGCTGAAATAGTAGTATAAGCTGTTTTGGGAGAAGGGGGGGAAAAAGACGGGCTCGGGCCGGTAATTCTGATAAGCTGTTGGACACGGCCGGGCTAGGGCCTATATTTGAGGCCCGTGCAGGGCTCTAGCCTGAACATCTTCAAGTGAGTGGCGGGGCAAACCAAAAGTTGATGCCGAAAGTCCAGCACTCTCCTACCTTCACTGCTGCGACTACTCTTGTTTGTATGTGTTCCTTCGCTGGCATTTTCCACATTTCGTTTTTCTCACTTAATAACAAATGTGTCCATTCTGAACCGAACTAATGACTGCTGATAAAGTGCGCGCTTTTAAGTGTTTGTTAAATGCATAACGTTAATTACGTGAGTACAGGTCTGCTCATGTCTGAAAATATAATATATGAAAAACTAAATTATTTTACATAACAAAAACATTATAGCTGATATTTGTATAGTAGGCTACATTTTTAAATGAATGTAAAAACTAAAATGAATTGTAAAACCGAAAGTTATTTTTTAAATTGTGTTCAGCATGGTGGGCCGCGGGTTGAGAACCACTGCATTAAACAGTTAGCCGAGCCTTTACAACAAAAGCGCATTTCTGTGTGTTTTTGAAGTCTGTATATAGAGTGAGAGAGAAGAGAATTTAAGAAAAGCAAAACTGGAGTATTGAATGATGGTACTCTGAGGCAAATTCAAGGGACAAGAATCATCAATTTTGTGTGTTTACGCACACGTTTTTTATGAATGATTGGAATTTATTAATACACACACATTTAACTATCAAATCTGAGGTTTACAAGTGTTTGTGAATCCAGAGGAGAGTTTTCAGGAAGGTCCTTTTCATGTGAAAATTACACTGAATATACTCGCATACTTATAAACGTGCCATGAGTTTGACATTATGGTTGTATGATAATATACCACACTGTTAAATTACAGACGAGTTTAGCATCACAGTCCAGATATACCCAGAAGCAAGATACATATGTCCTGTTCCAATCAGAAAACATTATTGTTTTTGATTTGTTCAGTCTCTTTAGTATTATCTAACACAGATCACTAAAAATAACGAAGCGTTTCTAAGACAATGTTATGTTTCGTTTATTGAAGGTTAAACTGTTATTGCAGCCATTTGTGTTTTCATGACAAACGTTTATTTATGGTGTCCTTTAAAATGGGTTCCAATAGGGCTGGACGATATGGCCAAAATTGATATCACGATATATTTCTTAATTTCGGTCGATACGATATAATTCCGATATCGATATGAACAATATTTATCTAAACTAAAATATTTTGTAATATTATAAATGCCTTTATCATCACTTTTGATCAATTTTAAGCATCCTTGCTAAATAAAAAATATACATTTCTATAATTTCTTTCCCAAAAAAATAATAAAAATTATATTGAATGGAATAGTGTATTATGTTACAAAAGCTTTTTATTTCAGATAAATGCTGATCTTTGGATCTTTCTATTCATCAAAGAATCCTGAAAAAATGTACTCAACTGTTTTAAATATTGATAATCAGCAAATCAACGTATTAGAATGATTTCTGAAGGATCATGTGACACTGAAGACTGAAGTAATGATGCTGAAAATGTAGCTATGTATGATCACAGGAATAAATCACATTTTAAAATATATTCAAATAGAAAGCAATTTTAAATAGTAAAAATATTTCAAAATTTTACTGTTTTTGCTGTACTTTGGATCAAATAAATGCAGCCTTGGTGAGCAGAAGAGAATTCTTTAAAAAAAATTTAAAAACTGCATTTTCTATTTACTTGCATTATCTTTGTGTAATATTAAAATTAGTTTGATGATCTGAATCTTTTAAGTGTGACACATGCAAAACAATAAGAAATCAGGAAGGGGGCCAAAACTTTTTTACACCACTGTATATACACACTACCAGTCAAAAGTTTTTGAACAGTAAGATTTTTTATGTTTTTTTAAAGAAGTCTCTTCTGCTCACCAAGCCAGCATTTATCCAAAGTACAGCAAAAACAGTACAATTTTAAAATATTTTTACTATTTAAAAAACTTTTTTCTATTTTAATATATTTTAAAATGTAATTTATTCCTGTGATTTCAAAGCTGAATTTTTAGCATATAAGTGCAGTTCCAAATGAAAAAATATGGTCTTTAAAAAAAATAAGAAAAATTTACACATCATCATCCTGTTCAAAAGACATTCCTGTTTGAAATGAACATGCAATTTTCATGATTCCTCTTTATTCAGTTAAAATGATTAACATATTTGCATATTCTGTATATGTAATCTTATGAGCACAACTGTATATATATATATATATTACATACAGTAAATGTACGTAAATATTACATTTTTTTCCTTTGCTGAATTTATATTAAATCTAATATTTTTGGTTTTGTTACAGTGTTAGTGATGGGCTCTTTCTCACTATCACTTACTCTCTCTCTTTTACTGTACATATCATTGCGTAGTCCTGTCATATATATATATATATATATATATATAGAAAAGACTGGGCAAAGGGTTGTGTAATAACCAAACAAGTCTAAATCCCTTCTTCTGGAGCATCCTGCCATATATCATAATAGGTAAGAAAAGACTTGAACTACTATTATTTGTTTTATGACCTTTGACCTGTGATCTCTGCAGGCATTGTATCATGGGAAGTTCATTGACACAGGCTTCACGCTGCCCTTCTACAAGCGCATGCTTAACAAGAAACCCACCCTGAAAGACCTGGAGTCCATCGACCCTGAGTTTTACAACTCCATCATGTGGGTCAAGTGAGTATCAAGACTGCAGACTGCTCTCGCTGACATCAGTCAAAACAGCTCTGTGACAAACACGACATTAATGCTGATGTGCGTTCACAGGGAGAATGATTTGGAAGAGTGCGGCGTGGAGCTGTACTTCGCCCAGGACATGGAGATTTTGGGCAAGGTGACGACACACCAGCTGAAGAACGATGGAGAAAATGAACTCGTCATGCAGGACAACAAGGAGGAGTACATTAGGTACAGCTGCCCCATGTTTAGATGATACTAGTATCACTGATCAGTTAATCAGACGCCTTTTATCCAGTGAGGTGTTTTTAATGTTAGAATACTTATCTAATTCCAGTTTAATATACAACTCCAGAATAAGAGTCTGTTTGAGAAACCTGAAAATAGCATTTGAAAATAGTCATTATTTTGCAACTCGGTATGGTGCTGCTAGTGATGCAGAAACTCAACACGTTTAACCATTTTTTTCACCTTTTTTGTGTCTTTTAAAGGGGTCATGAACTTGCTCTGTGCCTCTTTTTCGTCCCCTTATAATGTTATCAAGATTTTTACATAAAAAAACATCATAATTTAGAAGTAATAGGCTATTTTCTGTCCTGTTTTTAACCCCCCTCATCAGAACGCTCTGTTTGGATAGACGTGGAGGATTGTAGACTCACAAGTAAACGCCCACTGATATGATTGGCTAATAATTGTGTATGTTTGACAGCGTACATCCTTCACAGATGTCAAAAATGCATATCAAACGATCTGTTTAACAGACAAAGAAATAGTGATCCGGATTCAATGTAGTCGCACAGCATCGTCTTTTAGTTTCAATCTTTCTGAAAGTCCTGCGTCGAATTGTGCCTTGTTTGTAAACAAATCTGTGGTAAAATGAAGTGAACAAAGGACCGAGTTGTTACTGACGTGGTCTAGATCTTCATTAAAAATAAAGTTCATCCACTCTTTCCTAAAGTTGGGATCAGAAGGAAGGCAATGCAAACACTGTTTTTCCTCATCTTGGCACTGCACAGCGTCTTGGTGTCTTCAGAGCATCTTTATCGTTTTGGTTTCTGTGTCGACCTGTGCGTTTGCCTCTTGTAAACACTACATGCATGAAACGGTGGGCGGGGCTAAACAGGCAGCGCCGTAGAATCGGTGGGTGGGGCTAAACAGGCAGTGCCGTAGAATCGGTGGGCGGGGCTAAACAGGCAGTGCCGTAGAATCGGTGGGCGGGGCTTAACAGGCAGCGCCATAGAATCGGTGGGTGGGGCTAAACAGACAGCGCCATTGAATCGGTGGGTGGGGCTAAACAGGCAGCGCCGTAGAATCGGTGGGCAGGGCTGAACAGGCAGCGCCATAGAATCGGTAGGCGGTGCTTAGCAGGCAGTGCTGTAGAAGCAGGTGTTGATCTTCTGTGGAGGCAGTGCTTATCCACACTATTACATCATATAATAGAACATTCCACAAGCTGACGTTTTTGCAGACTGCCTTCAATATAAGTTGTTTTTAGACTAAAGCCCCGTTCACACCAAGGACGATAACTAAAAAGATAATGATAAAGATATAGTTCTTAAAATCGTTTTCAATATTACAGAATAGCAGAGTCCACACCACAACTATAACGATAAAGGCACAGACAAACAATATTGTTGGAATCACTTTTTAGAACGATTTTTCCCAGCTGATGAACGATAAAAATAATTGACACCCAATCAGAATCAATCCTGCTGACACGAGCTCGAGAATTTAAAGCGGCAGACGAGCGTGCGCTTAGAATAAACAGACGATATTGTTCGCTGGTGTGGATGCTAATATCATTATCTTTATAATTATCTTTATAGTTATTGTTCTTGGTGTGACCGGGACTTAGTTTTGAGTTCTGAAACTTATAAGAGGCCATTGTACTATAAAAACATCCTGTATGTCAAAAGATCAAGGGAATTTTGGTTTCTCAGTTCATGACCCCTTTAAAATAGATTGTTCCTTTAACAGTGATTTTAAACTCGTTGCGTGTTTTTCCTGCAGTCTGCTCACTGATTGGCGCTTCACACGCGGGGTGGAGGAGCAAACGAAAGCCTTCCTGGATGGGTTCAATGAAGTTGTGCCTCTGGAGTGGTTGCGTTATTTTGATGAGAAAGAGCTGGAGGTGGGTGTTTTAGTATTTTTAGCAAGGACTTGACATGAAGTGTCTTTAAAAACCCCTTGTCTATATAGAGACACAGACGTTGAGGAAACGGAAGTGAATAACTCGGGCAGTGTGGTTAAGTTTGGACTTGTTTTAGGCGTACTGATGTTATTTTTATCAGGTTATGAGGTTGATGGTGTGTGATTGTTTCTCGCTCCAGCTCATGTTGTGTGGGATGCAGGAAATCGATCTGAACGACTGGCAGAAGAACACCATCTATCGGCATTATACCAAAAACAGCAAGCAGATCCACTGGTTCTGGCAGGTAATTCACACCTTCAGTCTCAGGTGTTTTTATTCACTCACAGCTACTGCTCCTGTCTCTCTCTTTTTAATATATGGTATATATTTCATTATGTGTCTCACAGGTGGTAAAGGAAATGGACAATGAAAAGAGAATTCGCCTCCTGCAGTTTGTCACAGGAACTTGTCGCCTGCCGGTTGGAGGCTTTGCAGAACTGATAGGTAGAGTTATAATATCAGTTATAGTGTACTACAGACACAACAACAGTACAGTATGAAATCACTGCATGCTATCTATTTTATATAGATAAAGGCTTTATATATTATATATATATATATATATATATATATATATATATATATTGACTCAAATGAAGGTGTAGAACCATCTCCAGGATGATCAGAAGAAATGGACAGCACCTGCGTTAAATATATGAGTGTCACAGCAAAGGGTCTGAATACTTAGGACCATGTGATATTTCAGTTTTTCTTTTTTAATAAATCTGCAAAAATGTCAACAATTCTGTGTTTTTCTGTCAATATGGGGTGCTGTGTGTACATTAATGAGGAAAAAAAATTTACTTAAGTAGACCTTTTACAGTGATGCATTATTGATAAGACAATAAATGACGGAGTGTTTTAAGTTGATTCTGCTGGTATAAGGAAACAGTTGAAGTGATCGCGCCGGCGCTCACACACACACACACACACACACACACACACACAAAACATCAGTTCCAGCATTGCTAACTTGACAGCACAGTTGTTACTTTATCAAAATAAAATAGTGAACCAAACATCAGCGCGGCCGCCTCTGTGTCACCGTTTAAACACGATTGAAGTACAAAGCCTATAATTTACATAAAAAATAATATTAGTTTAACATTCAGATACATCGCAAATATATGCTGAATGAGAGAGGTAGGATACATGAGCACAAAGCTCCATTTCGCAAACAGTTGAGTGCCTTTAAAGTATACTCCTTTGTCAGTGAGAGACGCATTCAGAATCAGCACATGGTCACTGTCTAGTGGGCTTTGTTTTCAAGTGGGCAACTCATGGCATTCACTCGCTGTTCTTCTGCTGGCGGCCGGTTATCAAACAGCGTTGCATTGCTGCAGGCACCCCCTTCTGGATTGAGGGTGAATTGCCTGTATTTGTTGTAAGGGTACCGAACCAAGATGTACCGAACCGAGATGTCCGTACCGTGACGGTTCGGTACGAATACATGTATCGTTACACCCCTAATATATATATATATATATATATTAGGGGTGTAACAATAGGGGTGTATTTGTATTGAACCGTTCGGTACGAGGCTTTCAGTTCGGTTTGCATTACAAACCGAATGATTCGATGGACTAATCCTATTACGTTTGGAAAATAAAAGAGATTAAAGTGTGTGAAATATAATGTTCTCAGTGCCACTGCGCTCAACAAGACAGCCTAAATGACGTAACATCTGCCCTGCGATAACCTCTCCATGCTGGGGTGTCGAAAGACAATTATCTTGTATCGATGATAGCCATAGATATTGTCAAAAACATCAATTATTGGCTCTTAATTATTATATATTAAGAGGATTTCCATTCTTATTTTTATTAGGCCTATTATTATTATGAAGTTACTTTTATTATTAAATTAAGATTACAATTAATTTGCCCTGCAATATTACAGCATAACTGACGTGCTGCGAGGATAACAGAAGAATAGGCTATTAACTTCTCAATTACCATGTTGTAAAAAAAGGTATTTTAAAACAGGTCTATTATACAAAGAATTATAGGCATTTATTAACACTGCAGTCATCAGTAAAAATCGATGAAATAAAAAGCTTTAGCCTATTTCAAGCACCAACTTGAAATACGTTTCTTCTCATTTTTATGTACAGCCACAAGAGAAATATTAAGGGACTAAATTTAAACAGTTAGCTATATACCGTTATCAGCACATGTTGAAGTAGATTGGTCTCTCGTCGTCGCTGAGAGAATATGCGGCGTCAGATGCAGAAAGCTCCTTCATTCTGTTTTTCCAACATTGCGACGTAAGCAGTTACCCCCCCCGCCTCCCAATATATATATATTTTTTAATGAAAAATACTGAATTTTAACAATCATTTAACAACAACTGTTTGATCCAAAACTCATCTGAAATTAAGTAATAGCTAAAAATGTTAATATATACAGTGGGGCATAAAAGTATTTAGTCAGCCACCAATTGTGCAAGTTCTCCCACTTAAAAATATGACGTTTTATTGGTGACGCTGTCCAAACCTTAAACTTTTAAAAAATAATTTTGATCAAGAGTTTGTGAAAGGAGGACAAACTAAATATCATATGAGCTAAATACAATATGGTTTGTAGTAAATGATAAAAAAAATAAAAATTTGTTTGATCATTTTCTTTTTCTTACAGTAACTTGGGTAACACTAAATTTGTGTTGAGTCTTCCCAACATGCAGCTTTGAGCTCTTCACATGTGACCTGAGTTCTGTCCTCGCTGTACATATTCAGTGTTTAGAAGTGTAAATGGTTTTAATAGTTCCTCTTTTGATCATCTTGTTGTTTAGGAAGTAACGGGCCACAAAAGTTCTGCATAGACAAAGTGGGGAAGGAAACCTGGCTGCCTAGAAGTCACACCTGGTGAGGCTCTAAATCCGAAAGACAGTGCAAAATAACTCTTTCACAGAAGTGTGTTTGTGCTTATTTGTCCCTCCTGCCTTACAATTTCAGCTTTAATCGACTGGATCTGCCACCCTATAAGAACCAGGAGCAGCTCCGAGAAAAACTTCTGTTCGCTATCGAAGAAACTGAGGGATTCGGACAAGAGTGACGAGACTGATTATATCTCGGCATGGAAGGGACATTCATTTCTTCTGAATAGGCCATTCATGTGGACTGAATGAACAGACTGTTGATTAGACTAGCAGCAGATTTACAATTCAAACACTAGTTCACCTAAAAGTGGAAACTCAACTCATTTATTCAAAACCGATGCGCTGTTATTTTTCTGTGCAACACAAAGGACGAGTTTCGAAAAGAGCTGCATAAAGATTCTTCAGACTTCAACGTTTGTCCTCCACTGAATAAATAATAGCATGCTGGTATGTAATGACATGAGGATGAGCGAACAACAGCTTCATTTTTGGGTTAACTGTACTTTTAAACACTGATGGACCAGCAGCAGATAGATGATTTGTTTGAATGTAATATTTGAGTTGGTAAATTCAGGGGATGATGATTTCACCTTACATTTCTATGCAGAGAAAGCAATGCAAATTATGAGAGAGTTCACAGCATAACCAGATTTGTAAATCAAGTCAAAATGAATTCCCTAAATCTCCCTGCTTATAATGCAGCATCCAATACAGAAATATTACTATACTAACAAAATAAACGGCAGCGAATCTTCAGTTGCAGATGTCGTGGGCCGCAGAGCTGTCATATCAGTGTGTGTATGTGGACTAGAAGACCACTGAGAGGATAGAGAAAATAATTGTTTTAAAGAGAATGAGCAGACGTGATTTCATTATTTTGTGACATGCCATGCTACACTGTATATAGTTGAAATAAAATCCAGTCATGGACTGTAAACACATAGTCTGTGGATGATTTTAAATATTAAAAAAAGCTTTAAAATCTTGTGCTCAGTTTGTTTGGTATTTGTGTTTTGTTTTGCTGTCCCTAATACTTCTGCCATTATACCATCTGAACAAGCAACTATTGATTTTTATACAAGTTTATTTTGAATTATAATGGAAATGATATGAAATTTGGTGCAGATTTGGAATTATACATTTCTATGACAACACTATTAAAGCAGAAATGAATCCGTGTGATTTGAGAAATAGAGACAAAAAAGTAACAGTTGTTATGCTTATTAATCTATTTAAGTTTACTTGACTTATTTAGCCTTAATTTTATGCATTAAAGAACTGTTAGCTTTTTTTGTGTGTGTGTGTGTGTGTGTGGAATATTTATAGTTTTTGTTTGAAGGATGCGAATGCTTAAGTTGGAATCAAATAAATCCAACATGCTGTGAATGCAGATTTTGATAGGATTTCTTGAGCTCAGAGAAAAATGGTCAGTAGATTTAAAATAAATATAAAAAGCATGCATTATACCAATGTTAATTTGAAGGCTGATCAAGGTCTTTATACCACTATATTGTAGACATGTAAATGTTTGAACACAAAGCAAGTCTTCAAACTATATTTGAACTGTTTTGTGTTTTGGTCAGAAGTGACCTTATTTTCAATTTCAGGTTAAATATTCAACTGTAATTGCTGGAAGTGCTTATGATGAAATTCAGGATTTCAGATCATTGATTATGCAGCTAATTTTTCAAGTTACGTTCATCTCTAAATATATATCAGATAATATTGTTCTTTTGTGGTGAAAACTGCCGGTTATCTTTTGATCATTCTCAGCTTCACTGTCCGGTCCTGTGGCCCACTTTACATCTGAGATCTGAACATGTATTTGTGAATCGATATGAATGTGAATGTTCACAATAATTCTTTATTCAGTAAACATAACTAGATGGCATCGTGGAAATTCATGAACTGCAGTCCATTTTTAAACTCGACTTTGAACTATATGTATATAGCTCTTTATCTTCAATATGTTTATTTTACAGAAATGAGCCTGTGGATATTTTAAAATTCATATGGTATTTATGTAAAGTAAAAACTTTTTAAATGTCTATGTTCACTTGATTAATAGCTAAAATTTGCAAGTTTAAACATTAAAAGTGTTTACAGACAATATAAATATAGCCATATGGAATTATATTGTCAAAAAATAACATGCAGAGCATATCTTTATGCATTTCAAAGAGAAAATTATGTACTTCACAAATCATTTACAATATGATAATAACAACAACAACAGTGTTTGATGCTAAACTCACCTGAAATTAAAGTAATAGCTAAAAATGTGTATTCAATATATCAATAATAGTTGTGAGAAACAAATTAAAATGTATTTGTCTGAGAATTCAAATGCTATCCTACAAAAAGACAACATTTTCCTCACAAAGGCCCTAACAGAGCTGCCTAATAACAAAGTAAACATAAAAAATAAAACATAAAATTGCCAAATCAAGTAAGCTATTTCCACTGAATGACCGCCTAATTATTCGCTATTATGAGTTGCTGTTTTATGTACATTTAAAATTGTATTTACAAATGAAACAATACGTTTCAAACGAGCTTTAACCTGTAACGTTGCGCCGTGTGTGTGTGTGTGTGTGTGTGTGTGTGTATATAGGGACTCTTATTTTGAAATCGGTAATATTCTTCTGCCAAAGACACGAGAAAGCACATTTATGACCCACTGCAGTGCATTTACATTTCAATCCGTAATCCGAAAGAGCATTTAACCAGGTTATGTAAGTGTGAGTATATTAATAATGCGTCAATAGTAATGTTGTAAAAACACATGGTCTCATCGTAAATGCTACAGATCATGTGGAGTCCTGATGAAATGGCCAACTTGTGTTATAATCACTTCAGTAAACTGCCTAAAAGAGCAAAGCCAGAGGCGGGCAGAGAGTGGACTCTACTGGCTGCTGTGATTCTGCTGACTGAGTTCAGAAACAGAAATCAACTAACTAACATGATATGAAAACTGCAAAATGCCCTTTTAACCATTTGCTCACAAGCAGGTTGTGTCTTTGGGGACAGGCACCAAATGCATCGGCCAGTCTGCCATGAGGCTGAAGGGTAAATAAACACTGTTGCACAAATGCAAACCTAAATGTGCATCCCCATATATTGTGCTGATTTGCAAGTGACTCTGAATGACAGTCATGCGGAGGTTATTGCTCAGAGGGCACGTGTCAGGTAATTATTTCATCTGACAGTGCTTCGTTGCATTAGTCATGCATTCACAAACCAAACCCCAACAGCGTCTGAGATCCTTTGTAGCTTACACACACTGTAAACATATCTTATGGGCTTATATGATGGATCTATGTGTTTACCCATCTATGTTTGTACATGGATTTCACATTGGTCAAGCGGATGTTATGTCCTGTACATGTCTTCTAAAGGGCTGAACATGTTCAAATGAAGGGGATCTGCTGTGATAAATCTTTTTACTTATCCAATATTTGCGTTGTTCTGAACATTGTTTTCAGAGCATTTTATTGTTCTTACTCCAATTTAAGATATATCACTAATATATATATATATATTAGTGTATATGTATATATATATATATATATATATATATATATATATATATATACAGTGGTGTGAAAAAGTGTTGGCCCCTTCCTGATTTCCTGATTTCTTGCAACAAAATGCAAAAAAAAGAAGAAATCAGGAAGGGGGCCAACACTTTTTCACACTACTGTATTAGTGCTGTCAAATGATTAATCACAATTAAATGCATCCAAAATAAAAGTTTTTGTTTACATAATATATGTGTGTATACTGTGTATGTTTATTATGTATATAAATACACACACGTGCATGTATATATTTAAGAAAAATGTCATGTTTATATAATAAATATATTTATATATAAATGAAATTATATGAATATAAATATATACATGTAAATATAGTGTATGTGTGTGCATTTACAGTGGGGAAAAAAAGTATTTAGTCAGCCACCAATTGTGCAAGTTCTCCCACTTAAAAAGATGAGAGAGGCCCATACACAGTATACACACATATGTTTTGTTTTGTGGATTAATCGTTTGACCGTAATATATAATATATATACATACACACAATTTCATTTGTTATATAGTTTTGAATGTCTTTTGAAAGTTTTAGATTTTTTTTTATTTATAAACCAAGCATGAATTCAAAGTACTATTATATTAAATGAAATATACAATCAATAACAATTGATGTTTTCTAATGTGAATTATAAACAAACATTTGTTGGGTGGAAAAAGGGTTTTAGAGGAAGTGAATGTACAGGTGCATCTCAATAAATTAGAATGTCGTGGAAAAGTTCATTTATTTCAGTAATTGAATCTATGGGGTATTGTCAAAATGCAGATGAGCTGAAGGCCACTGTCAAAGAAACCTGGGCTTCCATACCACCTCAGCAGAGCCACAAACTGATCACCTCCATGCCACGCCGAATTGAGGCATTAATTAAAGCAAAAGGAGCCCCTACCCAGTCTTGAGTACATGTACAGTAAATGAACATACTTTCCAGAAGGCCAACAATTCACAAAAATTTTTTTTTTACTGGTCTTATGAAGTATTCTAATTTGTGGAGATAGTAAATTGGTGGGTTTTTGTTAAATGTGAGCCAAATCATCACAATTAAAAGAACCAAAGACTTAAACTACTTCAGTCTGTGTGCAATTAATTTATTTAATACACGAGTTTCACAATTTGAGTTGAATTACTGAAATAAATGAACTTTTCCACGACATTCTAATTTATTGAGATGCACCTGTAGTTACGTGCATGTCCTCAGGTGTCTGACGGAGCAGCTGTTCAGGGCCGAAAGCGGCCAGAGCTCGGAGGTTTTCTGCCCTGTGTCTGAAGAGGGAAAGTGGACAGTTAAACCGGGAGTTTCTTTCCTTTTCTTCACCAGTCAAACACCCTGTGAGGCCAGCTACTGCTTGAATGTTAAATACTAAATATTTATGTTAAATAAAAAATGGTTCTGTGCCTTATAATACCAGTCAAATGTGTTTACACATTCTCATTTTTTTATTACTTACCATTTTAGAAAAAATAGTCATTAAAAATTTGAATAAAAATGTAAAACAAATCAAAATGATCAGTCATTTCATTACAGTTGAAGAATTCATACAAAAATAAGGACTAAAAATAGTGTCCTACAGACAGTCACTGATCAGGGAGGCAACACAACACAACAACCAAGGCTTCTGCAGCTCCGAAAGCCTGCTGGCAGAGAATGCATTTTCAATAAGCCTGTCTGCTGCTGTTGTTCAGACCAATGTGAAAATCGACCCATGTTTTTACCCTGCAAACACGCAGAGCTGTAAATGTGAACTGGTGGATCGATAAGAAGATAATGCATTATAAAATCTAAACAGTAAAATGTATTTTTGTTATTTAATTAATATAATAATTTATTGATAATAATTGTTTAAATGAATATAATAATTCATATACTAAAAATGGTTTAAAGGCTGAAATGTGAAGTGTATCATTTTTGATTTTGTGAAAACTTGTATCTGAACTGTAAATCATGTTTTTACAGTCATTTTACAGTTTAATATGTTACTAGACATTGAAACCTGATTAAACGCATGACAGCACAAGTGTTATTTAGTCAAGTTTCAGTCTACTAGATGCACAGGATACAGGTCATCTTTAAATGCTTAACCAGAGATCTTTCCGTGTTTTTTGGAAGGCTATCATGCTTAAACTGGAGTTTTGTCTCAGTTCAGGTGTTGTGGTTTTCCAGATTGATGTCAGCTTGATCTTTTTCCAGATTATGTTATTTTTTCCACTTTTCTTTTTATGCTGATCTCACCAGTGACCACTTTTATTAGGAGTTACTGCCCAAAAGCCAGAAATGGTCTCATAAACCCTGCGTTTCATAGCAC